CAAACCTATTGATGATAATGCTGATGACAATGACAATTTATCTGTCAAATAGTTTAGGAAAATAGTGCTTTTTATCTCTCTATAAAAATATGATAAAATTGATTTCATTTGTGAAAATCATTAACATACTGGCAATGTAACAAGTTTAGGAAAAAAATTGATGATCCAAATGCACATCAACTGAGGAATGAGTAAGAAAAACATGATATTTTTACACAATGGAGTATTATCCAGCTATTAAAAAAGGATAAATTTGAGGCCGTAATGGTAAATGGATGCAACTAGAGACCACACTCTTAAGTGAAATCAATCAGACCCACATGAGCAAACATTGTATTGTCTCCTTAGTGTGAGAACCTGAAAGAGAAAAGTAATCTGAAGGGTACAATAGATATTGGGAAGAGGGAATGAACTTGTTCAAAAGGAAGGAGTGACTGAGTTGAGGAGAAGGACAGGAGAGGGAGTGTGGGAAAGAGATTTATCTATGTATGTGAGCAGGATGGTTTGGGCAACTCTAGTACAGATTTCTGCTAGTCTGTGGAAAGAAGCAGATAGTGATTGATTTGTTTTGTCTCCTGTTTTTTGATTCTTTATCATTTTCTCTTAAATTCTTATATCTTTCTTTCTTCTTCCAATTTTGCTTCCCTATATCTGGTAATATGAGCAACTAGTTGGAAGACAACACTATGCACTACAACAAATAATGTGAAATTCATATTATTTTGTTTAGTGAAATTCTGTATAATTTGTAACTCTTCTGTTTTAATATTATTTTGTATATACTCTTTAAAAGTAAAAACAATTACAAAAGAAATAAATTATACAGCTAAATTTAGAAAACAATAAAGATATTTCTACTATTTACCTGAAAGTTTTGAAGTTTGGGTAATTTTTTAGTTTCTTGAATTACATAATTGTTTAATATTTTTATTTGAAATTAATATTTCCTTCCAGACTTAATTTGTGATAATAATTTCTTATTCATTTTCCTAAAATATCCCCAAATTTCATGAGCTTTGAGTTTTACAAAAAGAAAATCTCCCTTGAATGTTCAAAATTGAATACTTTAATCCTATATTGATCAGGAAAATAATATACAATACTGTATTTCCATATTTTTATCTTGTGCCTCACAGATACAAGTAGAGTTTGCAAAGGTTTTATAAATGTTACAGGTAAGGAAAAATTAAATTTAGTGTAGGACTTTCTTTATGTCCACTTTCATTCAACTGCAATTCATTTTTAACCTTCTTTTTGAGGACATATTTCAAAGGCTGAAGAAAATATTTTATTAGTTTCAATTACTTTATCAAAATTACCACAAACTTAGAATGTAAAGTAAATCCATCTCTTAATTCACAGTTTGTGTGGCCTAGAAACTGAGGCACAGGGATGACAAAAGGCTGAAATCTATGACTGGTCTGGGCTTTGAACCGAAAACTTTACTTTTTTTTATTTTTATTTATTTGAGAGAGAGAGAGAGTGTGTGTGTGTGGCCAGCTCAGCCCACCAGGGGGCAGGGCTGGCTGGCATGTGGTGCTGGGGGATTGAACCGCGGTCCCTGATGCTTTGCCAAGCTTGTTCTAAGTAGGTGCCTTAGACCACTGAGCCATCTCTCCAGCCCCAGAACTGAAAACTTTAAAGGAGCATCTATCTTCATGTTTATTAAATGTGTTGGCAGGACCCTTATTGGTAGCATAATAGTATTCCAACTGCTGCTTCCTTTCTGGCGTTGACTTTGTGGTTCTGTCTGCTTTTAAAGGCATTCCTGGACTCTTAATTGTGACCTCCATCTCCAAACTGGTAATCATGGGTAGATTCCACCCACTTCAAGCCTTTTGTCTTCACATGTCAACTCTGCTCTGCTTTCTACTGCAGTTCACGGGCCAACACATCTGCCTTTCTCTTCTGCATTGAAAGGCTCATGTGGCTACAGGGGATCTTCTAAGTTAGCAAAATATTTTAAGGTCAAATGACTAGAAACCATTGCTTTTGCAAAATTCATTCACAGAAGTGTTTGTATTCATGTCTCATTAAAGCAAAAGTCTGGGGAGGGGTGATGTTCAGAATTCTATTTACTACCGTGCTGTCTTATTCCAGCATCTGATTTTACAACTGGGAAAAGTAGGATTAAGTGGTTTACCCAAGGATTTGTCAGCAATATTTTTCACCATGTTAATAGTTAGATGAGACTAAATTTCTTACATGCAGCTTGTTTGATCATCCGCTTAAGGAAAATGACATATGAGCATATTCAATATTCATAATAATTTTAAGCTCCCTTATCATCATTAACAAAGAATATACCTACCTCAAGTCTTAATGAAGAATTCCAACTGTCAATTCTACTGCTTTTGCCAAAAATACATAATATTATTGGTACTGGACAGAATGACAAATTGTTAAGTTCATTCTTTTATCAGGATCAGCTAACGTTTTCTACAAGTGGCCTCTTCACGAAGAGTGGAGACGTTGGAAATGTGTGACCTCCACTCACTCAGGACAAGATAACACAAAACAGAGACAGATCACAGGTAAATGAGCAAGGGTAAATGTGTTGTAGTAAAACAGTACTTACGAAAACAAGTGATATATCAGATTTGGGAGGAGCAAGGTCTCTTTCGTGTGGATCTTGTATCTCTGGACTCAATCTCCAAAGTCACATACAAACTTGTCATTTTCCATTTCAGTGTATAAAGGTCCCTTCACATATGTACATTCTGTCCTATGATCTTAATTTTAATTGATTAAAAACCATGAAGTCATGTTTTTACATATCACATAGTTTCTTAAAAACTGACAAGGTCAATTAATTATAGCATACAGAAAATGGCATGCTGTAATTTCTCAAAATTACAAATGTCCTTCAAAAGTCTATCTGGGGTGTGTTTTGTGTGTGTGTGTGTGTGTGTGTGTGTGTGTCCGTGTGTGTTTACGTGCATGCGTGTTCTCATGAGGAATTAGTATGCTTTACTTTGCCAGGCAATAAAAATTACATGGCACAAATATCACAGGGATGGTTTCTTTTCTTCACTTACAAGAAATTTAGAGTCAAAAGGGACTCTATTTTATTCTTAAATGTGTAAAGTTTTGAGTACATATATTTTCTCCTTTTTTCTCTAAAGTTTTGTCTTATTCCAGATATAGTTGTAACACCCTTTCTAAAATCCTCATGTATGAATTACAAATAAGTACATAATGTTAGATTTGTAATTAAATTATCATTTATGATTGGTTCCCTTGAAATCCAAGTATCAGTATTTATATTTTATAACTTGAGCTAGTTAATATTCTGCATTCTTTGTAAGATTCACTCATTTTCTTCATGTCCCAATATTGATGGAATAGGTATTTTATATTTAAAATTCTACACAAAGTAAGAGAACATATACAAGTGATTGCCTCTTTTTATTTTAATAAATTTTACATTAGTCTATGCCATATGTATTAGAATCTGTTACTTGCTATTACTGATATTTGGGGCAGGGAATGCCAGTGAAGGAGACAGCTTCCTGCCCTGCACACAGTTCGGCAGCATCCCCAGCCTGCCCACTAGATGCCAGCAGTACCCCCACCAAGTTGTGTCAACCAAAAGCAGTTCCATAGTGTAAAAATTCTCTGAGGAGTACAGTTGAGAACCACTGCTGAAAACTTCTCAGAGACTAAATTAGGAATACTGATGGACGTCTGCACATGAGTGCACTTGTAAGACAACCACCCTCCTCCCCTCATATCAAACCGCTCTTGAGAGTCCCACCTTTCGAAGCCCTTTCTGCAACTTTGCTGTCACTACCTCTGCAGAATGGTAAACACTGTTAAGACTTTAAAGGCTCCACATTCTGCTTCTGCTCCTTTAGGCGTATTGTACATGTAATGTACTTTCAATCAGCATTACTCTTACGAGATTCTCGCTGACATAGGAGTTGTTCTTCACTTTTATTGGCATGTGCCATAATTTGCTTACTCAATTTACTGTTGAAGGATGTTGTGCTGTTTCTTAGCTTTGTTTGTGGAAATGTTTTCACCTAATTCAATTTTTTTCTGTTCAGATTTTCCACTTCTTGAGTTCCTTTTCTTAGATTGGTTTTTGAAGAATTTGTACATTTTTGTCTTATTTTCTAAGTGCATTGGTAAGATATTCAATATTTAATATCTTCTATTGGCTTTCAATTACTATAACATTTATAATTATCTTGCCCCTTTTAACTTCTGGTAGGTATAAATTCTGCTATTTTTATCTGCCTTCACCAACTATACCAATTATCATTTTATATCATTTCATGACTCTTCAAAAAAAATTTTCATTTTGTTGATTCCCATTATCATACATTTTTAATTGCTATTATTCATTTATTTTCTTATAATTCCTGTTATTAAATTCCTTTGTATTTATTTTTATATTTTTAACTCTAAGTTAAATATGTAAGTAAGCTTTCTAATATGTATGCAACACTGACTTTCAACTTTTTTTTTTATACAAAATTATTTTATTAGAGACCAAAATTCTGGTAATTCTCTTGCAGCTTTTATTTTTTTATTTTTTCACAGCTTTTATTTTTAACATAGCATTTCTTGTATCCACTTCATGGCTTAGTATCTTGACATCCCTGTTAGCTAAGAATTTCTTTGTAGGATTCAAATTGTAAGCTATTGCTGTAAGAAATATTTGTCTTCCCCTGTAGAATTGTTTACAAATAACACCAATGGAAATATTTAAACACAATTACTATATTCTTTATGTTGTTCTATAAATTTGATGTCTAGCAAGACCTTGACCACTCTGCTGTATTTATGTCAGATTTCTCTCCAGTGTGAGGGATGTACTTAAACTGGAGGGTTTCCCATATGTACTTAATTTTGTTTCTATAACTTGTCTCTTATACAAGTTTCTGAGAAATTCATATTGCTTATAGTCTTTCTCAAGTTTGTTATATGTGTAGATTTTTCCAAAATTGGATTGAATTAAGGAATTGAGGAATTGATACTAATAGAACCTTCTCACATTCACTGTCTCCATATAGTTTCTTTACAGTATGAACTCTGATGAACAATAAGGTTGTATCATAACTACAGGTCTTCTCATACTTTCCTTCATTAAAAAAATTCTGATGTTGAATTACAGAGGTTCTGTGGCTAAAGTTTATTATAACAAAGTGTTTCACAGAGTTTCTTGTATGACTTCTGACATGTATAGTGATTTATTTGGTCTAAACATTTTACCATGATCATTGAACTACTAAATTTCTGTCCAATATGTGTTCTTTGATGGGCAGTAAGATTTGAGCCTTTGCTAAAAGCTTTCCCACATTCATTACATTTATATGGTTTTTCTCCTGTATGAATTCTCTGATGTACTGTAAGATTTGAACTACAACAGAAAGTCTTCCCACATTTAATACATTCATAAGGTTTCTCTCCAGTATGAATTCTGCGATGTTGAAGAAGGGACGACTGGTGACTGAAGGCTTTTGCACATATACTGCATTCATAAGGTTTCAACCTAATGTGATTTCTCAAATGCACATTCAGTGATTTAGTGTGGGGAAAGGATTTCTTACATTTCTGACATTCAAAAGGTTTTTCTTCAGTATGAACATGTTGATGCTGACTAAGAGATAAGTGACTACTGAATACTTTCAGACATCTGTCACACTCATATTGTTTTTCTACAGTGTGAATTATCTGATGTCAAGTAAGGTGTGAACTACAGCAAAAAGCCTTCCCACATTCATTACATTCATAGGTTTCTCTCCAGTATGAATTTTCTGATGGTGAATAAGAGATGATCTACGAATAAAGGCCTTTGCACACATTCGACACTCATAAAGTTTTTCTTGAGTATGAATTCTCAGGTGTTCAATGAGATGTGAAACACGATTGAAACACCTTCCGCAGTTCATACATTCATATGGTTTCTCTCCAGTGTGAGTGCTTTGATAATTAGTAAGTGAAGAGACATGGCTGAAGGCCTTTCCACACTCAATACATTTGTAAGGTTTCTCTCCACTATGGCTTACCTGATGTCGAGTAAGGGATGAACCATGGCTAAAAGCCTTCCCACATTCATGACATTCATAGGGTTTCTCTCCTGTATGAACTCTGCAGTGGCGATTAAGGGTTGACTGCCAAATCCTTTCCCACATTCACTGCATGTAAAGAGCTTTTCTCTACTATAAGTCTTCTGGTGAGGGGTAAGAGATATGCTCTGGCCAAAAGTTGTCATACTTCCATTAGAATCCAAAACTTTATTTCTGACATTACTTTTCTCATTTTTTACAACAGACTTTTCGTCTACACTTTTGTTTAATATATCAGGTTTATGTGATTTCTCTTCAACACTTATCTGTGGTTCAGAAAGATCAGTACTTAAATGGAAGATGCTTTTAAATGTATTGTAATTATAAACACTTTCCCCTGCTGGGTTTTCTCTAAAGGTGCAGATCACTGGTCTGAAATGTTCTATCTGATGTCCATGTTTCCTCTCCATCTTCTCTCCATACTCCCAGTCCTTATTAACATTTGAAAATTCACAATCTTGTTTTAAAGGTGTTTCTAATGTTACATCTTGGGATGAATCTTGACCATAAATATCCTTGGTTGAGACTTCCTTGTTGTCCCATTTTGATTCCCAATCAAGAAACATTCCTTTTGACAGTTATTTCTCCACCACCCATGGTTCTTTTCCATTCTCCAATAAGTAGATCACATGTGGCTTAGTTACGGAAAGACCTAGAGAAGCTAGGTTCTTATAATTCTGGACCATCACACCCTTATATAAATCTCTCTGAGCAGAATCTAGCCATCCCCACTCTTCACAAGAGAAGTCAACAGCCACATCACTGAATGTGACCTTGAAAACACCAGTCTCTAACATGAAAATGCCACGTGGCTCCTGCTTTCAGCGTTCACTACACACTGCCCACTTTCCACAATCCTCATTTCTGAGACACAATAGCGGTCCTCACTCCACCCTAACACAGCAGAGCCTGACTTTCAACTTTTAAGAAAATGTTTTACTGTACATTTTTAAAGGCTATAAATTCCTGATTAAGTACAGATTTAACTTTTTCCTATAAATTTATTATCACATAGCTGATTATATTTTTCTGAAAAAATATTTTCAATTACCTTCATAATGTATTCTCTAATCATCGGATAACTAAGAGTATATGTTCAAGTACTGGAAAACAGTCTAAACTTTTTGTCACTTTTAATCTTAACTTCTCAAAAACAAAAGAGAATACTTGAATTCATTCTTATAAGTTTTAGTGAGTTGTTTCAATCTTCTAACATATTCTGAATTTGGGGGAAAATGAGGTGAAGTTGTAGTCTATATGTCGCTGGTTGCGTTGTTCTACAAATGGAAATTAGATCATGTTGGTTGAAAATGTTCAGGAGTTGTTTATGCCTTCTAAAGTTTTTATCCTATTCTGTTTGCAGTGAAAGAAGCATGGAAGTTTTGCAACTGTACTATAGGTATTTTAGTTCTGATATCTTTTGCTTTATACAATTTTAAACTATGTTATTAATCACATATATATGAAAATGCTTATACATGATTGATGAATTATTCTCATCCATCATTAAAACAGTACCAATTTTAAATCTGGCAATATTTCTTAATCTATTATTTCTGCTGTTAGCACATCAGCAAGAGTTTTCTTCCAGTTTATCTTTTTTCTACACTTGTACTTTAATGTTCTTTTCTTTCCTATCTTTATCTCACCTATATGTCTTTAAGTATTGTAAAATTGTGCTGCTAATTCATTCTGAACTTTTTAAGTGGTATATTTAACTTATTTATATTTATTGTAATTATTGAAATGTTTGTCTTTATATCTATCATCTCACTATTTTTCATTTTTCATCTAGCTATAGGATCTTTTCTTTCTTGTTTAATTCTAGATTAAATAAATTTTTATATTTTATGTCCTACTGACAAATCACTCATTGATTACTTTTGTCTTACACTAAAATGTGTCAGTTACCCATTACTGTTGACTGTAGGTTTTGTATATAATTTTCCCAAGGATATAGTGAAATTAGGACACAGAAGCTCTTCATATTTGGTTTCAATATTTTTATTAATTTTAATTTTTCATGTAATTTAGAGCTGAGACAACAAGTATTCTTATATATCCAATGTCATTTATATTTACCCATTTACATTCTGCATCACATTTTATTCCTCCCTCAAGTTTCATACTTCAATGCATTTTCATACCTTGATTATTTTTTTTCTGCTTAGAGATCTCATCTTGGCACTTTATTTTTAATATGAGTCTTGGGGTGAGAATTTATTAATGTCTGGATTTCTAGATGGATGATTAAAAATGCTTATTTGCACCATGCTTTTGATATCTAAAATTTTAAATTAAAATATATTAGAGGATGAAACAAATTTTTCTTTTCTTAAAATGTATTTAGTACTGGGTGGACAAGGTCTCACTATGTAGGTTAGACTCATGGTGATCCTCCTGTTTTCAGCCTCCCAAGCACTGGGATTATAAGTGTGCACCATCAAGCCCAGTCTGGACCTCTTTCTGAGTGTACCCCAGGGGCAGGGCTGGCACAGCACTCGGGATTAAACCCCAGTCCCTGCATGCTGCCTAAACAGGCACTTTTGTCTGCTGAGCTATCTGGCTGGCCCTGAAAAAAATCTTCCTTTTAATTTCTTGAGATCCTTTTCAAGGTGAGCAACTAGATGTTAGTGTGAGGAAACAAAGTCAACTGTGAACTGCAATTGTTTGATACATAACTTATTTTTAGGATCCTGTTATGGCCAAACACTACATATGTTGTATGCATGTGGCTTAAAAGAACAAAGTTGTCTTCCTTCCCACATACCATCCTCTGTATATTGGTAGGACCTTTGGATGAGCACCATTCAGGTGGTGACCAGAATCTAGTCACTCTGTACTGTGACACTACAGTGGACATTCCAGGACCCATCGAGCAGGCTGCAGCACAGGTTGAATCACTCACGCTCTCTTCAATTTCTCTGGAACAATAAAGTAGCTTTTGTACTTTGAAACTATTAAAGAGAAGTAGGCAGGCAATCCCAGGCTAACTTGAGGACAGCTGGACAGTGTCAGGGTCCACAGAATGTCGGGCGAGCATTGGTATCCATGCCAAATGAATCACCTGATATGCACAGTTAAAGCTATAAAGTATATTCACTACTACCATCATAGGCCTAAGAAATAGTACAAGAATAGGGACTTTATGAGTAGTAAAAATGTTAATGAATCAAAAATGTCAATGATGCTAATGATCGGGTAGAACATAATAAATCTACATACCCATTTGCATGATGGAAAATATCTTCAAACCAAGGGATCTAGAAAGACCTCCAATTCTATGCGGCCTGCGATGCTGATGCTAAGGTTGTAGATGTTGATGCTAAGAGAGATGATAAGTCTGTAGCACTTGCAATCTGGTGCATTAACAAAGATTTCAGGCCAGGGAGATAGCTTGCCAGTCTAAGTGCCTGCCTAGCCGGCACAAGGACCAAGGTTAATACCCATTACCGCATGCCCTGCTGCCCCTGCGCCAAGCCATCACAAAACTGGACATGGTGGTCCATGCCTGTAATCCCAGTGCTGGGGAGGCTGAGACAGGAGGATCCCCATGAGTCGAGTCCTGCGTAGCAAGACCCATACTAAATAAATTAATAAATCTTAAAAACAAAGATTGAAAGAAAAGTAAATAACTCTTAGAAAAACTGCTAATGCAGTATCTAATTCATTTACTTTGTTTCTCAGTTCTTTAATAAGCTAGTGATAAAAGCAATTTGATAGTTTAGTGTTTTTCGTATAGAGATTGTCAAATGAGAGTAGAAATCCAAACAGAAAATGGCATGAAGTTCAATCTGGATTTAGGAGGTTTATTTTGTGTTATAACAGAGTATCTTATGTATTTTGGGGGAAAAATGTATAAAGCTGCAAACTTTAAAATATTTTAGCTTAAATATGTTTCATAGGACTAATACTTCTATCTCCACATTACAGGTAGCTATATTCTCATATTTTAGCAGAGGGATGGTGCTTTTTACTATTCAAAAACTTCCCCCAACTCCTTCAATGATTACATATTTAACACATACATAGGACTTTTCTGAGAAACTCAAACTGTAGAGCTCATGTAACTCAAAAGTATTAACTTTATTTTATTTTTGAAAGGTGAAACATAATTTAATTACAACCACGCAATTTGATTCAAAGTATATTGTAAGTCAAAGCCATTATGCCAGGAGAAAACCTTTTAAACACTATATAGAAATCAATTATTGATGAAATATAGTTATACATGTGTGAATATATATATATATCATCCATAAAAGTATTATAAATATTCATATAAAACAAAAACAGGCATATTTGCCATTGAAATGGAGATGGCAAATATATATTATATATACGTTTATATATAATATATATGCATACTGAATGTATATTTGTATATATGAATAATTCTAAGAATTCAGACTTACTAACAACATGATATTTGAATAATCACTTCTTTTCAAAGATTCTACTAAACTATTGATATATGAGTTGAAAAATACGTTTCTTAACTCAAAATAAATTCACAAAAGTTAAGGACAAATGATATGAAAACTGAAATCATTTTAGTATCATGAGAATAAATCTCTTCTTAAGTATGTGATTGCCATCATAAAATGTGAGAGAATGACCTGGTTCATAATTAAAAGGGAGCCATAATAGTGACATGCCATCTTTTATGCTATGGTTTTGGATTCTAACGTATCTCTCCTCCCACAAAAACATAAAAGTCACTTGATTCAGAATGTTCTACCATTTCTTAATTGTCACTCTGGTCACATTTCCCGCCCTTAATCCTATTCTTTGAATCTTTAAAAAAAAAAAAAAAAAAACTTCTGAGCACTAATTATTTAACCTTGCCTCCTACCTGCTTCCCTCTTTATACTGAGGTTTCTTAAGGGCTATAATGAGCTGTCCCCACACAAACAGGCAGAATTAGCGGATAATTACTGCTGGGCCTGTGAATGTTCACAGTCCTCCCTCCTTGCGGTTTCACAACATTACCAGAATGGTCTGGCGCCTCCCTCCCAATTAGCAACAATTACTACTTTATACCATCAGTGGGGGCAGGCTTATTAGGGTGGAGGACATGGAGAAGCGAGAAGAGGTAGGGACAAAGGCAGGGCTGGCAGTGTCACTGTCATGAAGGACTTCAAAGATTCATATTCATCTTTGTATTTTCATTTTTTTTCTGGATTGCAATGACAAACACTTATATCAGTCCTTTATCTATCTATCATCTATCAATCATCTGTCTATCATCTATCACTCTATCTCTATCTCTATCTATCTATCATCTATCTATCTATCTGTCATCTATCTATTTGAGGTTGTTTTTCTCCTTTCACACAAGATATTATCTCGTTTTGGTAACTCCAGTTTTTAAAACATTGTAAATGGCTCTGAATCATTCTATGGGAGCAAAAAGTGTTGTCATTTTTGTTGTTGTTGTTGTTGTTTGGCTTCACAGTACAGATTTTTTAGTAGAGATTTTATTCCTGGCATCTAAGTTTGGTTTCCTAAATTGTACCTAAGATGGCATTGAAGAAGAAGGTCCTGTAACTTGAACTATTAACAAAACATTGTTTTCTAATGTTTTTTAAATAGGAAAGTTGAGCTCAACTGAATATCAGTACAAATCATAATGACAATACCTGAAGATAATGTCACTTGGGTGCAGATTGAAGTACAAAAGATGTGTCTCTTATAGTTTATCTATTCTCTGTTTCTCTAATGGAAATTTTATCATTTCTATGAGGAAAGTTTTAAGGCTGAGTAATATTTATGTGGAATCGGAAACCAAAATGTGTTCCCACCAGCACAGAAAGCTGTCCATGGCACTGCAT